CATCCTTTTAATCCTGATATTTTCACTGAGGAAGAATTCATGTGCTCTGCAGTCACTGACAGAAGTTTCTTGGGCGATGACGATATGCTTTCTGCTCATTCGACTCTTCAAGACCATTCGGCTCGACTGACTTTTTCTAATAGTATAGAAAACCCGTCATCTTCCTTTGACAATCCCTCTATGCGTTGTGATCAAAATGGTGCTCACTTAGATAAGGTTCCACTTGTAGCTCCGGCAGCAATAAGGCCTTACCCAAAAGCTTCGCCCAGGAAGAAAACACGGCATGGTCGTCAGCCAGGAAAAACAAAAATCTTAACCGAAACTCCTGAAAAAGAAGATAATCCTGTAGCTGATCCGGCAACTGTTGGGATACTCACCGAAAGGAACATTGAGGAGAACCGAACGATGGCTGCGAAAAACTCGAGGGTAGGAGGAATTAAAAAGAACATCTTTCAAGATGATGAAACAGAAACGCAACGGGAAGATAGTTCAACCATAGTCGAGCATACATCCAGAAAGAGAAATTTCAGGAGTTCGACTGGAAATGGAAGCACAAGAAGAAAGACCAAGTTGAAAAAACGCGTTAAATCCAGTAAAACAGAATCAGAGGACGAGTGCGTTATCCAATATGCTGATAGCTCGAGTGGTGACGAGGCTCAAGATCCAAGTGACCCTTGGTATTGTTTTGTTTGCCAAAACGAAGAGGTTTTGGATATGCGCCTTTGCATTTCCTGTAAAAGGTATGCACATGAAATATGTGTTGGACTGACGAATAAAGACAATGAAAACTTCATATGCCATGAGTGCGACTGAAATTATTAATATTTGTGTTTTATGTGTTGATGACACCTTAGGTTCTAGAGAAAATTCAACTTTTTGTTAGTTTTGTCTTGGATTATTCCAACCCAGCAATGAATGTAGAAGTTTCGTTTGTAGTTATTGCTGATATTCTAAATAAACTATTTGAGAGTTGAAAACAGTTTGTCTTTATTTCTCTGTATATACATATATATAAAGATGTGGTCAAGTCTCCCTTATGATCGAGTCATCTCTCCCAGGGGTTGGGGAGACTTGACCCATATATCAATTTTTCGAAAATCAATAGTGACAGCTAAACCACTAGATTAATAGCGATTTCTATATCACACAGTAATAGCTATTAGGCAATCTGACGCACATGTCTTTGAGCGACCAAGTTTCAATAAAGAATTACAGTTTTATGCATGTTGGAGTTGAAAGGGGTCCAACTCTCCCGGACTCCCCCTATCATTCGTTAGCTGGTCCATTTTGACTGGACTGAAGCGAGGATGGCCAGGTGCTTCAAGTGAAGGTCCCAGTTATGAGGGGTGACCTCACATTTAGTGGCTTCAAAACTAGTTGTAGGCGAAGGATGCAGTGAAGTTGAACTTCAAGGTGATGGCGCTGCCAAGGCACATGCATGGGTGAAGTGATAGGCCAAGCAATGCAAAGTCAAAGACAAACTCAAAAGCAAAGTCAAAGACAAAGGCAAAAGTCAAAGACAAAGGGAAAGGGGGTGGCCCCAATCATTTTATCCTATTTGGACACACATTTTACAAAATGCTAGCACATGGTGCTATATGACCTCATGCTACAGAGAACAAAATTCTCAGCTCTTGTTAGATCGGCGGCTCAAGTGAAAAAAAAAGCGCGAGGAAGATCATCAGGAACTCCGCATCAAGCGCGCTCCAAGCGGAAACGTTTCCAAGTAAAAAAAGCTAGAGATGGGATAAGCTAGAGATGGGATTAATAAGTTGCGATTCTGAAATAAAAATCGAGAAGTGATTTAATAAACACAATCGGACGGTGAAACCGTTACAATAGTGTCGGTGAGAAGAGAAGTAGAGGAGAGCTAGATCCCGACACCCCGCCGATACGGAAGCGTCTCTAGACAGGGCATTAGAGAAGAGTTATCTATCAGTCAAACATGTGAGCAGTACAGAGGCTAGGTCTTATGTGGGGCTTCTCAGCCTACCTTTTTCTCAGCAGCTGCCGCTATTGACCAGATGTGTTAGTTCCAGATCAATTTATTGGTGATCTGGACTCCGACCAGCCGAATTGAATGGCTCATTGGTAGAGCTCGGCCATACATAGAAGCCGGATGAACACTAATGCGCTTCCTGTTAGTTAAGGTACAATACTGTGCTTTGGAAGCACAAGATTTTTGCAAGCAGTAATAACCTTCAGGTATCTCGTCTTAGAGGTCGTTGATATTTAAAAGGAACAATGTCGGATCCAAGACCGACACTTGAGGAACACCCGCATTGATGTTGTGGATTGAAGAGGACAACCCGTCAATTACGACTGATATCTTGTGGCCAGAGAGGAAGCCAGCCGTCCATCTACAAAGCTTATCTAGGAGGCCATAGAATAGGAATTTACATAAGAAGGCAGCATTTCACGGCTGATCAAACGCTCTCGTGTTATCTAGAGCACCTTTTCATCACCTCACTCATAACACAACGCAGAGCCATAGTAAATTTCCTGTTTTCTGGGAAACTGCCGGATTACTAAGATATCTGGAAGAGATGCCAAAGAACTGGAGCAAGCTTCGCTGTACGACGGCAGAAATTGAATCCGGACGAAGCTTTGTTGATGTCGAGTTTTCGATACTATATGTATAGGTATATAGTAACAAAGTGTATGCAAAATCTGTAGAATATTCAATGAAGCTTTTGAGTTTACATCAATTTAAGCTCCAAAATCGCATTTATTCCATACTTATATCCACTCGTATAACATACTGCATATTTATGACAAATTAAGCCAACCTTTATATCAATTTATCTTCAGGTAATGTTTTCATCGTGATGAAACGAGGGATATCAATGTGAATGAACCGATCCATGTGGAATGTTGATACAGTGAAACGAAAAGCAAATACTATATATACATTATCTGAGAAAGAAGAAGTACTGAAAATTCACCTATTCAAAATTTACCGAATTCCTCATATTCAAATCTAAAGTTCTACATTCCATTCTGACAAGGCGAAAACCTATTTTTGGAGTTATCTAGTATCAAACTTAGAGTTTAAGCCCTACAAGACATCGAAGAGTATTTCGAGCTACGGGATATCCTGTGCTCCATCCGGTGGCGGGGTTGGGACATAAAAGTTAGCAATCAAATACCAATGCCTAGAATTGTCAGACCTTAAATCGCTTATAACTCAAAAACGGCCATCCTGTGATAAAACTTACTAAGGACCATTTTTGTTTAGGATAATATCAAAAATCCTAAAACATAGTTCGGAGTGAAAAAATATCGTTTTGTGATTTGTTTAAAAAGTTGTTTAAAATTTGCATCGAGTCATCGCCCGGCAACCAACAATATGGGTCTATTAAAGAAAACTTAATATTTTGATTGACAAACAATAAAGGTGACGCGCCAAGTATGAGCAGTTTCGCAGTACTATTGATACCTACATCTCCGGGTGACAGTGTTTGCTTCAAGAAGCCAAACAAGGGCGTAGTACTAAGTACTCTCTGTGCTACCAGGATTGACGTATTATACACATTAAACAAGTTGGATGAACTAAACACAGTCAGGACAGGATATGTTTACTTTCCGCCTCTGCAACCATAACCAACCGTGTACAACGTTGTTCTCCATCTCCGAATGACGAGACCGATACCGTACTATTGATTACTAAAGAACAAGTAACAACGTTGTGTACGGTTGATTATGATCGCCGAAATGAAAAGCCTCTCTGGATAAAAGTGCATACCACAAACATGATTATGAAAAAAAAATCGAGTCGGAAAATTTTTCACCATGTCTAATCGGAAAAATACAAAACTCCGCTAGTGCTCTAGCTACGTGTTTGCTGCACCGCTTTCATCGAATATATCATCCATCGCCTACTGGGACCCATATTGCGACATTGTTCAAGTGAAGTAGAAATATTTATCGTTGAACGGTCGACAGGATGAAATTGCAGTTACAGCTAATGCACGCTACATGCTACAGTAGCATTGGACAGGAATTGCGAACGTATAAAGGACAGAAAAGAAACTCCAGGCCAGTGAATAAGGAAGCTAATATAGAGAGCCGTTGTTCCTTCAGGAGGAATTTATCGACCCTTTTCAGCCTTCAGTTACCTCTTAAATTGTACACTGTCGGTACAAAAAGGTGTACTCAGACACATTGCTGAATAAAATCGGAGCAAGGGTTGCCTGTTGAAGGGGATAAACGGATCTGAAGCGATACTCTACAAGCAGAAGGTATTTGCGATAGTAAAGAAATGGGGAATGGATATTTATCGAGATTGAGATTTCAAGTTGGATTCTGGAATATAGATACATGTATATAATACCATTGTAACGGGTATTCCAACGTTTTCCACTTTTTGAGCGACTTGTATAGCTTTAGATACTGATAAAAAGATACCATTTCGTTAGTATAAATATCGGAGAAATGGGATTTAGGTATCATTGTAACTGCATACATTGAAAAAGTGACGACAATATGATGGTAAAGATAATTACTGCTTTACTGAAGCTTAACCGCGTTGTTGTACCATACGATAAACAGTCTATTGCGTCTTATCGATTACACTAAAAAGGGTACGTGTCTTTTCAATAATCTTGCATGAAAACGTATTTTTTCTAGCTCAGTGTAAGTTATCTTCTAATGATGCTGCCCGAAAAATATAGGATGGATTCAGTTGCAATGTTCTTGGACGAAAACGGAATTTTTCGCATCAAGCATACAAGTTTAGTCTGACGGTCAAAATATCTAATATTTTGTTATAAAATATATTTTATAATGAAGCCGAAATTAATGTGAATGGTTATGCTCGATTTTCCTTCATTTCCTATATTCTAATAGTGGAAATCTCTCTAACTTTTTAATATTCTTCTAGGTAGAGTGTTTCCAAAATCTTAATTGAATTTGCTTTTACAATCAATAGAAGTTCTTTATGTTGCAAGGAAAAATATTTTATGGTATTTTATCAATATTATATATCAAAAACAAAATTTCGCTTACACTGTAATCACGCAATTTGTGAAATACGATATCAATTAATAGTAACCTTCACAATGTCACCTATTTTGTGTGCCACATTTTTACTGTGAAGTTCGACTGAAGTTGGTTGAAACATCCAAGTGGTTTTCCTGAAAAGTTCACATTTAAAAGTTACAATGTTATTAGATGCGTGTATGGTATGGTATACTATGGTTCCCAAGAAAAAAAGCACTATTTAACTTTGACACATTACAAAGTATAGCAATTGGATTGTAATATTTAGGGCTTGAAGAAGAATTCCTTAGGTCTCCCGAGTACCGAGCGCTCAGAGATTTCTTCTGCTTTTTTCATTAAGCATTTTTCTACAGCGGAAATATAACCCGCAAATACAGAACATGACAAAAAATACCATTTCTATGGCATTTATACGATTTATAGTACAATACAGTTTTTTGGGTAAGTAGTTTCAAATCTGAGGTTAGTTTGTCCCTACGAGGGCATTTAAGTACATTTTCATTTAGAATCTTCTGGTTACTAAGTCCGAATCAGAGACCAGTTAGCTATTATAAGCGCATCTGAAGGTCATTTAGAGGTTACTTCAAGGGCGAATTCAAAATAAGCTTAGCACTGGAGTCCAGGCGCGTGTCATGTAGGTTTTCGCGGTCGTTGAGTTCAAATCATGATCAGTTTGTCTCTAGGAGAAGATTTGAATTATATTTTGAGGAAGCTCAACGAGCAAATTCGAAAAAGTTGAGTAAACATTTCCGACCACCTGCTACTATGGTAGCGTATAAGGTGACATTTCTGAGTAGTTTGCAAAACTTAGCAAAAAGCCACCATAGATTTTATCTGGCAATGATTCAAGGTTCCCATGCATCATCTATTTCATTTGGGAAGTGAAGCTGAGTACAGTTCTCCGTTCAATTCATGGTGTACATAAAAACAACAATAATTATTTCTGTTCCATCAAATGAAGGTTTGTAATATCTGTATTATGATCAATGTTCAAATGTTCAACACATACCGCAACGGATGATACAGAAACACACGTTAAAAGGTAGTTTAAAGGTAGTGTAAGCAAAATTCTGATTCCATTACTGATTTATTGCTCAAGGTTTAACTATAAAAAAGGTAATTTTGTTCGTTCATTCCCAGTATTTTTTTTATTTTTGACAGGTTTTCCCATAGATAGACCACTGTGCACCGTACCTACGTTTTCAATTGAACTGGGTCTCTTTTGACGGAATATGTCAATTCCATATTATTGTTGAAACAAATTAAGCCTAACATTCTCATACAGCATATAAATCATTATCAATAGAACAGAAACAAACAAAAATAGTGTACACACATAATAAATCAAGATCTTCCTTGAATTTTCCCAAATCCCTAGTTAAGAAAATTGGTACCAATTGTCCCTAGAACTATTCACATACAAAATTAAGATGTTCTTTAAATTGCCCTATATCCGTAGCTTTAATTATTGGTATCAATTGTGCGTAGAACTAGGCATCACTGGTGGCAGACTAAAAAGGGGAAGTGGTACGCGGTTGCTGGCGCTCTTCAGCAGGTGCGGGAGGGGGGACACTGTAGACCGCCGATTCCAACTTGAGCTCTTTGTTAGAAGCCTTTCGCTTTTACAGTATTTACAAGATGTTAAATATCAGTTCATAGATAAACATATGCTCTAAAGAGCAGTTTTTTTCTTTTTCCGATATAGTGCTTGGTTCTTTACCCACAGCAATAACAAGGATGTGCAATTTTGAACTCAATATTTTCTTAAAAATATTTAAAAACGATTTTCTTTATTAAGCAGTGCATTTATACTCCCATTTCGCTGTATGTATCTAGAAAAATAGATGAGTTATTCTAGAACTATGCAGGCTTAACATATGAATATATATAGGGATTCTTGGGAGCATTAAGGCCAAACGCTGCAGACACCACCTCTGTTTCCCGATTTCCTAACAATGATATTCGCCCGCATCTTACTGCTTGAACAAAAACATGACGGTATGATTACACATGGAACTAACACTTATTTCTACAGATGTTTCGGATAATACTCACCAATTACATACATGTATCCCGCTTCCATGTACGTATAGAAGTTTGGTGCATCTGATGATACTTCGCATTTGTACTTTCCTGTGACTTCTGGTTGGACGTTCTTCAGAACAACTTCATACGGCGTACTCTTCCCCAACTGGAACAGAAATTGTGACATTGAAGGGGGGTTATCAGGACATTGAACCCCATCAACAAGTGTTTTTGGATTCTGTACCTGATTTAATTGCCTATGAATATTTTTGCTTTGCACACCAGTGATGAGGAAGTATTGTAATGCGACAAATTTCGAAATTGACGATTTCTGATGTTATATGACCTCAGGAAAAGCTTTATTACTCGTTTCTATCGGTCTGTCTATCGGTCGGTCTGCCTGCCTGTCCGTCCGCTTCTCCTTGACCTATTTATAACTCGTGACGTACCTCTAGAATATTGATGGTATGTTCACACATGTTATGGGCAAGAAATGAATCAAATACAAGTAAAAATCACCCAACCTTCGATATTTGATATTCCAGGTGCTTCCGATCATTTTTAGATGAAAATTTGTATTACTTAAAAATGATGATTGAGGTTTTTAGAGTGTATGGGAAATTATTTATTAATTTATAGCGTTATACCCTTCCAACACCGGTAATTATACACACCTATTAGAAATAACGTAGATATGTCCTAAATGTCAAAATAAATAAATGTCAACTGACAGTAAAGTAAGTAAACAAACTTTTGTTTCTAAAGGCAGCTTGATATTATTTTGTGTTTGCTAAAATTAAAGTCAATGAATTTTGTGCCAAAACTTTTAGCACATACGTTATTTCATCTTTCAAAGATTTACGCCGTATATTTGCCTTAAAACTTGAATGATACAGAAACCTTTCCAATTCACATACAGAGTATCGCACGTAAAACTGCCGCGATTGATTACTCGAGAAGTTGAGCCGGAAGTAGATACCAGCTAACTCGCAATATTCTAAGTACATTTCATGTATATTATCCTATACCTAGATTTGACCGTCTTTGAGAAATATCAAGCATTGTATAAAAAAATCGCTAATGCAGGTCAGTGTAAGCCTGTGAATGTTTCGTATATTTTTGTCTTTGTCGAACGATTTCTAACCCTCATAGAGAGGGGTTTATTTTAGTAGACTCCGTTCAATATTTTGATAATTGATAATACAGGATGGTAAAAAAATCGCATGAATTTTTAATTTTAACAGATGCCAAGAGCCAATTATGTTATTTCAATTGGAAGATTTTGTGATTTTATACGTTTTTTTATGATTATCCGAATTTTGTAACATGACAAAGACAATTCATAACATTTGTTCTTCGTAAGGCTTTCCTCATTTCCTGTAATAAACAAATGTTGACAATATTCTTGTTTAATATTCAATTACCGCATCTGAGTCAATTTGTAAAGGTATTTCATGCAGAAAATAGCGCAATATGCAATTATTAACGTAGGCACCTATACAGCACGGCAGCTATGATTCTAACACCATCTATCTATACATGTTGTGCAATTAATTGACCACACACGCGATAGCCTAGTCGAGGTTCGAGACCACGAAATGGTACTTGGTTTTTGATTTCTCATGTGCAATGCATGCACCACATATGAAAAAGTTGTACATTATGATTAATTTTTAATAACTCTCGCTAAAAAGGCCACATGGAGGGATAGAAGACAAGTATTTGCAAGTTCTCTGAACTACCGATTTCAGAGGTACATAATCATAATATCCTTATTTTGATTGCATTAGATGACGAAGATTACGAAAACAGGAGGTTCCACTTGAAAAAATTGACTTTCAATTTGACAATACACATAGTGGTGCAGAGCTTATAAAAAATTGAAAAGTTTTACATTGACCTGTACTATTCCTTTACGAAATGGCAATCTACACTTTTCTCAACAAAGAAATCCTCAATATAAATAAAGACGTAAATGGCATCAATGCACGGCAGCAACTGAATATACATGTTCCTTTCATGAAATATAAACTAGGCTGCAGGTCTCCTAAAATCAGAATCTTTAATACATGACGATGATCTTAAAAGAGGCCAAGTACCTTTGCGGTAAAGTTGAAATGCTATTTTATTGATGAAGTTCTGCATTCTGCCGATGACTTTATATGTATAGGTGACATATAAAATGCAACACCCAGGATTATTTATTGAATTTTGATAAAAAGTTGTAAACATATTGATATCATGGAAGTATACGCTGATAAAACGTTGGAGGCATTTCGAGCCGTACTTTTTATGTAAAGGCTTTTTTGTCATATCACGATCCGAACAATATGAACATGTTTACTTAATATCCAGTGACTCTTCTGTGCTGGTTCCATTTGTTTCATTACATTATCATGCCTTCAGTTCGAAGACGCGCTGATTTTTAACATAAATTTTTTTGGGCAATTGGGGACGCCATTTGATGATTTTTGCGCTACGGTTACCGAGATATGGTCTTTTTTCGTTTTTTTTTTGCTGAATTACCTACAATTGCGCATAAATATCTGTCACGTGCGAAAATCACGTAACCTTTTTTTTACTATTTATCGCTTATCCGTAATTTGAATTTCTCTTCATTGATAATAGAGTGCCCATTCCTAGGCCATACCCTTTTCAATGATTTTCTTTTGGCAAATTTAATAGTTTATTGATTATATAACTTCACTCGTATTATATCTTTCTTTCTCAGCGATTCGGTATGGTGTTGACGATCAGCAAAAACTCTGTAGTTTTTCTCCGTAGGTTGGTTTCCTATAAAACATATATTCTTCAATGCCACTCAAGATACGTTCTTCTAGAACGTTACGTGTTTTGCGTGATTCGCTTTTCTGTTTCCGTTGAAGTCGTGGTGCACGGTCATTTCGTCATTTTCCGGACCATGGGATATCAGGCCCCAAGCGCCAATTCATGGACTAGCACCCTTATTTTGTGTAACTTACGTTTAATCATTTTGGTTTGGGTGCTACGTCTTCCATTTTTTTATGAGATTTTGACCTTCAGCGTCAATAGAAACAGAAGAGAATCATTTTTTCAAAGGTATGGCTTCCACCAATTTGCAAAACTGCAACAAGGTGCAACCAACTGGAGGAGAAAGGATGATGATACTCTTCTGTTTCTATTGACGCTGAGGGTCGAAATCCCATTACCAGAATCCTGTATAAATGCTGTGTCATGTAATTTGTAAGCTTTCAAATAATGTATTTTTTTCCTTCGTATATATTTGTATTTCTTGGAACCGACGAATCCTGTACATTACCTTAAAAGTCGAATGGATAATGAAATAAATAAAATGAAATGAAATGAACACATTCTTCCGATTTCTTGATCGCCCTGTATTAATTATCAAAATAACGGTTTCCACCCAAGTAGGCCTCCAGCTATAAGCAAGCAGTTACAAATCTTTTGACAAAGAAAAAATATGAAAAAAGTTTATAGGCTTTTATGGACCTGCATTTGTAATTTTTTGCGCATCTGATATTTCTTAAAAACGGTTAGATCTAGGTATAGGATGTTATACACAAAACGTATAGAGTTTTTATTAATAATAAGCAACCGGAAGTGCCACCCTTTTTGAAGATATTTTATCCGAATTTCTCATATCTGTTATGTCATAACTCCAAGTTTTCATATTTGTCTGACGTCAACCTTTTGCCGTTTATAATGACGATATTTCCGGCTTATTACCTTGTGCCTTTCTGTAAGCTTATTCGAGCAACTTCCTTCCTCCTAATGATAATCACTGCTTCGCCCTGCTCTTGAAAGTCAGTTTTTCCATGCGGCGATTTCATGCATGGTGTTGTTTGTAAAGCGCTATAGGAGGAAATTCACCTCAAAAGTTTTATGATGGTTTTTAACTGGGTGAGAGCCAATTCTGCAATAGACTGCTGACTCGCCCACTTGAGCTCAAGCTTAGGATGTGTCTACGTGTGCTGATATAGCAACCCAGTGAGGAAATTAATTTAACTGATTCAACTCTGGTTTACATATTGTCAGTCACTAGAAGATCTGTAGATCTGTTAATGTTACTGACCTATTTTCAAGACATTGTTAGAAATTCTGACAAGAATGTCTAGTTCCTAAGTAAGACAATAAATAAAATGAAAGTACATTTATAAAACCAAGCTTTTATTCGGATGTTCATGGAACCTATTCAAAATTTAAAAATATTTCCATCCTGCTGTCAATACGTAACACGCTTTTATTAGAAAAATTAAGATGAAAATATTTTCAAATCTTTAGTTCATTTTATGTACAGCTAAATAACAGATTGTTTACAAAATGTATTTTTTTATGTATTTATGACGTCAAGTAACTGTTTGGTAGTTTCTATATAACTTACATTGTGGTGTTATTATTATAGTGGAGAAGTATTTGTGTTGCATCCTGACCATTGATGGCAAACTTAAAAACGGGCCTTGGGGTTTGGTTAATAGAAAATCTGTAACTTGTTCGACGTCTCAGTACAATTACATACCATCTTCAGATTTACGTCATAGAAATATACAAAACCGTCTTGTGAAGGTGGTCACTTGCACATTAGACATTACAATTAAAACAACAAGAAAAAATATACATATCTTCAGACTATACATTCAAAAAATTACTAAACTGTGTGGAAATACCACCCATAGAAGTAATTGAAAACTTCTACTTTACATTACAATATTATTGATTATTTAATAGCTATGTTCCATTTACTGGATTTGTACAGGTGTTAAAAATGTTATTTTTTTCTGCCCTGTACTTTATACGCCTGGACTAGCTTATTGATACGAATCATTCCAAAAATGTTTTTTTAGACTTAGACAATCTGGTCCTTTAAATGGCTTTTTGTTTCCAAAATCGATATTACACATACCGCCAGCGGTACTTTCTGTTTTTTATATCATATTTGTGGTTGTAAATAATTTTACCGCTTTGTCTGTCCACATGCGAGCCCCTTCCCACTTCAGTTGGCCCAACTATTGAAATCTTAGTTTTTTTCTTTTCAAACACAAATAATAAAAATATAGCAGGGTGTTATAGGTTTCACATATTAACAATGGGTAGAGGAAAGGTTATTAGTGAGAAGATTCGGTTACTGATAATTAAATTTTTTAATTCTGGGAAATCAAACTCAGAAAT